CTGCTATGCAATACCTCTGTCTGATTATCAATTTGTATTTAATGGTGAACGTAGTCTGACGCCATGACCAATATTTATCAATTAAGTTTCGGTGGGGGGGGGGTTTGAAAAAAACTAAAGGAATTAAGTTTTTTATCCGACATCGATCTTTTGACATCGTCCCTTACTAAATACAACTATCAACAACATTAAAAATACATTAAGCAATTTATAAGCTTAGTGTCTGAAGCATTTAAAACATTGCCAGTCGACGCCCTTTTTCCACCATCAATTTTAATATGTTCATGAAAGCTTTCAGCAGGTGTTGTGTTAATCTCTATTATCAAAGTTTATCAATCGTGGATTGGATGACTTGTAATATATGTGTGTCATATAAGGGAGATAGACATATTCAATTAAAATTTATTCTCTTTGTATTTCTGTAATGTATACAACAATCACACATTTATCCATAAAATGACAGCTGCAGTATGCTATCTAGTTCATTTATGTTAATACTCAAAACCTGTATAGTGATTCTCAACCAATCAGATTGCTCCATTGCAGGACTTTAAGTGATTCTCAACCAATCAGATTGCTCCATTGCAGGACTTTAAGTGATTCTCAATTAATCAGAATGCTCTATATACTGTTAATGTTATATTTCCAAGTCTCAAAGTCAGAGCTTACACAACGGATGATACAGTAGTCTTGCTGACCATTGAGTTAAATCATGACTTCATAAATTATTCAGATATTGTTTATAATGGTCTCCCTGCCTCAATTTGAATATGCAAATGTTATGTGTACTATGACTACAAATTCTGTATGTGTGCACACACTTGTAGCTGTATTCATGCATTAAGTAATAAATTTGTATACTGCATATATTCAGTTTGTACTACCACTATTGTATACAGTTATATATCTGTCTAACTTAGATTGGGAATGTTTACTACATCACCTACCAGAAAGTCCCTGGAAATGATAAATTTCATTTATTACTCGTTAGGCTTAATTACAGATTCCAGCCCCGAACAGGAACTATTAGGGAATATACTCGGGTCCACAAAAAACACCCTAGGGTAGCATTCCCTATAGAAAAAAAGCCTCTCCTGAGGGGTCACCCTCAGGGTGCTCATGCGACTGAGGCCTGATCATTCTCTCTTGTTTCCGCTACCAATGGGTGCAGAAATTTTTCAGCTACGTGCAACAGAGAAACAGATTGCAGTTGTTATGACTGAGATTATCTAGGAAATCTAGTGTTGGTGATCGACATTACGGTAAAGGCTTTCCATTATTAGGGGCCCCAATTTTGACTCCTGTGTGCGAAGCACACAATGGGAGTCTTTGCAGTTGGTGTGTCTCGTCTGTATGTGTGTGTGTGTGTGTATGTCTGTCCGTCTGTTCCACTGATATCTCAAGAACCATACATTGATTTTTTATGAAACTTGGTGCATAGATGCTCTGGGCCAATGCGCATATTTGATTAGGTTTTGGTAAAAATCCATGCATATTAATTACCTAATTTGCATGATAATTAGCTGTTCCACTGATATCTAAAGAACCACTCATTGGATTTTGATAAAACTTGACACATAGATGCTCTGATCTAATGCACATATTTGATTAGTTTTGGGTAAAAATTTGCAATATTGATTACCTAATTTGCATAATGATTAATCAATTTTTGGCTTCCACTGATATCTCAAGTACTAATCATCACATTTCAATAAAACTTGGTACAGAGATGTCATAGGACACTGCACAGACCTGATAGTTTTTAGGGTAATATCAGAACATATTAATTACCTAATTTGCATAATTAATTAATTTTCAGCTTTTGATATTTCAAGTAGTAATCATCACATTTTAATAAAACTTGGTACATAGATGTCATAGGACACTGCACAGACCTGATAGTTTTTAGGGTAATATCAGTACATATTAATTACCTAACTTGCATAATTAATTTTCAGCTTTCGATATTTCAAGTAGTAATCATCACATTTTAATGAAACTTGGTACATAGATGTCATAGGGCACTGCACAGACCTGATAGTTTTTAGGGTAATATCAGTACATATTAATTACCTAATTTGCATAATTAATTAATTTTCAGCTTTTGATATTTCAAGTAGTAATCATCACATTTTAATAAAACTTGGTACATAGATGACATAGGACACTGCACAGACCTGATAGTTTTTAGGATAATATCAGTACATATTAATTACCTAATTTGCATAATAAATTAGTTAATTTTGTCCATGAATGTTCCACTGATATATAAAGAACCACCAATTAGATTTTTAATGAAACTTTTAAAGAGTACTCATCACATTTCAATGAACCTAGGACTATGCAGAGACCTAATTAGTTTTTGGTAAATACTTATGCTTATTAATCACCTAATTAACATAATTAACACTGATATCTCAATTACTGATCATCACATTTGAATAAAATTTGGTACATAAATGCTCTAGGACAATAGACAGGCCCGATTAATTTTGGGTTGAAATTTGTTCATATTAATTCTCTAATAATAATTCATAGTTTTTTTGTTCTAATCACATTTCAATGAAACTTGGTACATAGATATTAGATTATGCAGACCTTATTAGTTTTACACTCAAATCTGTTCATATTAGTTACCTGATTTACATAATTAGGTTTCAGCTTTTCCATCAATATCTCAAATACAAGTAATTTTGAATTAATTTTGAATGTGTCTTCAATACTCTCAGCACACGAGAGTTCTTTCTAAGCTTTCTTTGATTACCTGTTTTAGTTGAATCGCCGGCTCAGTTTATATTCGCCCGGATAGCAAATTTTGGCGCGGTGAATTTTCTCATTTTTTCACGATCTCATTTCGTAATTCTGATAACAAAATTCAAATTAGTATGCTCTAGGAGTTTTATAACACTAAAAAATTGTTGACAGTACTGAACACTAAATGCCCTCAAAGTAAGGCTTCCTGAAAGTATGTATTGTATAGTTAACGTGTGGCTACAAGTACCGTAGTACAGTAGTTTCAGTCTGAAAATGTCAGGACATATATTCTGGTGCGTGTTAATACTGTTTGAGAATGGTTTGAAATAACAAGTCTCTAACTAATCTCGAGACACGCACTTTAGACTGCTAAATAAACAGTCAACAACTTTGCTGGCAATTTTACTGTTTTGGTGTTCAGAACAATGCAATGACAGTAAATAGTGAGGAGAACATATTAATGTAGTCATGCAAGACCTTGTTCTGAAAAATAGTCCTCTCCTAGTGAATTGGTATTGTTGTGAACAAAGAAACTAGTAAATGGGTACTGTTTGGAACTAAGATACCGACAACCCAAAAGAGATGCTGTTCAAGTTACGAAAATGCTCATATTTCAGAAACCACGCCCACTTCTGTGAAACCACACCCAAAATATAACTCTATGTTTAAATAACAGTTAACAGAACTTCAAGTTATGGGCAACCTACATTTTTGTTTTTGTTGAACATCCACATTTAGTAACTTGAACTCGAATTACTACTGGTAAATTTGAACGTTAAACAAAGCAAAGTTTGGTTAACTGTTATTTAAAGTTCAAGTTACTAAATGCGGACGTTCAACAAAAATTAAAATTTATGTAACTTGAAGTATTGTTAACTGTAAATTGGACATTGAGTTACAATATGGGCGTGGTTCGCAAAAGTGGGCGTGGTTTCTGAATTATGGGCATGGTCATTTTTGTAACTTGATGTTTTTGTAACTCGAACAATTCAGCACCTCGAGCCAAAAAGTTTTATATAACTCGCTCGCATCAAACAATGTATTGTGCCTTTGAATTGTCTTATGTTTGGTCATAATCTGAAAACAGGAACTTATCGATTGACCTTTGTGGGCAAAATCGTTCATATCCAATCAGAATAGCAGCCATTTTAATGCCAAAATGCAAAATTACATATTTTCACCATTCTGGTACTGGATTTCAGTCAGTGGTACCTCGATGAAAGAATGCAGATCCATATATCTTACTTGCCTGAATTGACTGATGAATTCATACATGCATCATACAATATATGCACATGCATATAGTACATATGCACATGATTCAATTCAAGATGGCTGACTAGAGGCCATTTTAATTAAATGTATCAAAATCAAACATGTTCACCATTCCTGAACCAAATCTCAGTTTTGCATGAACCAATTTTGGTACATGCATTTAACATAATGGGACATTGATGCACTTTATTTTTCAGATTAGATTAAAAATTGCTGACTGGCAGCCATTTTGTTTTGAAGAATGCAGTTTTGGATTCACATCTCTGACATGCCTTGACCAATCAAGTTCAAATTTTATATTTACATCAGGAATCATATCGAATAAACACACGTGCATTGTTGTCACAATCCAATCTAAAATTAATGACTGAAAGTCAGAATGGTTGATATTGTATTCATTCATTATCTAAATGTATCTATAATACAAACAGGCCTGTACTGTTTACACATGTTTCCGGGACTTAACGACATCTAGACAGATTGAAGGGTTAGTTGGTCAAAATACATTTGATCACTATTGATCATTCATAAATAAAACAGTGCTTTTGAAATGTCTGTATTTGTACTGCTGTTATGAGCATGGAC